TAGTCTGAATGACTTGTCTATATTTCATATAAATTCGTTGACACGATATTATTGTATGGTAATATTATTTTGCTGGTATTGTATTAATTCGGATCTTTTCAATGGATGTAAGAAAAATAAACTGTCCTTATTTCGTCCTTACTTTATGTATAAAAGTATATTTAATACTATTTCACATACTAAGCTAGAGTAGGTAATGTTTTTTAAACCTTTGATGTTCGTAGGGGATGAATTTCTTACAAGCTCAATACAAAAGCAGTCAGTTCTCATAAGTTTGTGTTGAATAATATATAATAATATTAATATACAGGTAGTCGTGACAGGGACGCAGTGCGACACTTGATGTACAGATTATTTACAGTATTAATATACACAGCATCGACCGACAAGCAATGATGGTTCACTGTTAATGTGAGAATATTAAAGATACGAAGAAATTAGAAAACGACGAATGATCACTGATAGGAGTCATCTAACTTGGATGATATAGAATACATGTAGGAAGTGTGTTGTGAATGTACGAGTATATGATAGATAACAAGAAGTAAGGTAATAGAAAATGTTTTATATGATATTAATAGGTTACATTATAATTCACAATAATTTTAGGGACTTATTAATTAACGTTGTAAGAGTCTTACATAATAGGTATATTTTAAAAAACTTTTTTAGTGTCAATTGTAACAAACTTTTATTATGACTGGAATTAAAGTAACATTCATATACAGACCTTGAATTAAATAGTATTAAAAAAAATGACACTTTTGGTGTAAAAGTTAAATTATATATAATGTATTTTTATATTAGGAGGTAATGTTGGATGCCTTTTTCTTCACAGGTCACTTATTCCTTACACAAATAAGTGTATAAATCACAGGCTGACAGGTACACATACTCGTAAGGGTTTAACCTTCGTCAGAAACAAAAAGGAAGATTATTTTCTTTATCGCTAAAGTTGATTTATTTTATTAGAAATTAAAATAATATTGAAATATACTATGTTCTAAAACTATGGAAAAAATATAAAATTATATCGAGAGAATGAAAAGAAAAGAAACTTATCACGAGAGATGTTTCCATAAATATAATGAAATGTATATATAATGAACCCTTCAACTTGACGCATCTTATATACAGAGGACAGTTGGTGAAGCCTGTTCATATAAGAGGAACTCAGATCAGGATAGGAGAAGGAGAGCCTCACGTGTAGGAGTATGAGTACTTTAATAATAAATATGATATTTATGTTAATCAATTTATTGAAAAGTATTTGTATAGAAGACAATGAGAGACGTAATCAGTCTTATAATCAACAAGTCTCTTTGCAGCCACATGGAATGATTAAAGACAATATGTCCTCTCAACTATCTTGTATGGATGTCCTTTATATTTGTTATACATAGAATTAAAAGAAGTAAATGTGTTTGCTCACTAGACCTCATCAGTGAGGTTGTTGATAATAAGAAACTTCTCAGTAGTCAGATCCTCTTTTATATGTTATATAGATTGAGACAACTTTGGTGAAATTATTATTTTACGTGTTAGACTGACTCACTGAGAAACATTACATACAGTTTTAAATGTGGGGAAAATATAAAATACTTTAATGAAATGAATGTGATTACTTCACAGTATTCATACATCATTGACAAACTATGTAAATAAGCAATATAAAAATTCCTCCTGGGCACAGACACTTTATACATATATATATATATATATATACATATATGTGTGTGTGTGTATATATGTGTAACCAGTAAACGAAGATTTAAAACAAAATCGTGATGATATATGTTTTTAAAGGAACTGCTGATTCCCTTGTCACCGGTTAGCTCATGACCTGTTCATGACTCAAAGATGTTATGGAAACATGCAAAAACAAAACCTACTAATATATAATGAAAAACCATTGAAAATGACTAAAAAAATATTTAATTGTAATTTTTCGGATATACTACGCGTGTTTTATAAATTTAACTACATTATTAAATATATTATATTGTAAAGTAGTTACGTACAAAATACAGTTGTTACAACCCAGACGAGTTCTTAGTTAGCCTTAAATAAATATTGGAATCCTTGAATCTATTAATATTACATATTATAATAATTATAATAGTCTTTATAGATTGAGGTACGAGGATTGTAAAATATACAATTAACGAATGTATTGATACTCACAAACAAGTAGAACTTAATAGTTTAATAAAACAATCAATATATATTAGTAAAGAGTTCACTTTGTTTATTATTGAAGCTAGTTCGTAGCTCGTAGCACGAGAGCTACGGTTTCCGTAGCCACTGGCGTCTACGAGATGTCTACGGTATACGATCTCCGCGAAATATTCCGTCCGAATAAAGATGACTCTCCTTACGTGTTGTTTTCTGTACTCTAATACTACAACGAGCAGCCTCCTTCCTCCTATTTACTAGTAGAAAATGGTTTTAACTAACTTTTATAATTATATAGTTTTTTCTTTTTGTCTTTTCATATTTTTATTTTTTATTCACTGTGTTTTTTTTTGTTCTGTCTTACCTTTCAATTATTTCCATATAAAAACACACTAGTCAGTCTCTCGTGTAGGGAACGATTTTCTTTCGGTAGTTGTCCTTTTGTAGTCTGTCAAATTCAACAAACTGTCTTTGAACAGTTCATTGGAGAGTCTTCTGCTTGAAGAATAAGACGTTCAATAAATCCACTGCCCTCGATATGTTGTACATGTTTAGTGGAGAGACGTACGGAGTGTTACCTTAATATATACAACTGAACAATATTATAAATTAAGTGACATTAATACAGTTTCATTTACTATGTCAGCTTAAAGTAAGACAAGAAAAAACATTTAATTGTATGTTATTTAGCTACACCTCTATAATGAACAACAAATATCTTTAAAGTAGGTACAAAACTAATAAAGTAATTGTTAACAGACTACTCGCTAATATATTTACATACGTGTGTTTGTTCGTCACAAACAGACTTACATTCGAGTCTAGAGTCAGAGTCTTAGGGAGTCAATACTATTAGAACATCACGTCTGGCTTGATGGCTTAAGTCAATGGTATCCTAGTGGTTAAAAGGCCCGCCGCTCATACACGAGGGCGCGGGTTCAATCCTGGCCTGGGCAAGTACCAATGTGCTTTTTCCGACTCATATGTACTTTCTAAGAAAATGTAGACATCACTGATTAATGCATTCCAAAAGAGGGTTGATGTCAGGCAGGCGGCCGGTAGTAAAAACAATTAGTCAAAACTATTCACAACATGCAAGGCAGACCCTGGCTAAAGCTGGGAAATTGCCAGGTAGAAGGATCACTTGTGGCCTGATGAAACGTGGTCAGGATGAAGAACACAACCTCAAGAAAAATATATCCTTGACATAGAAGCACTCGTTATAAGAATATATAATATGTAGCTTAAATAGAAGTGAGACGTTTTATAAATAAAAGAAAATGTTTTTTAATCATCGTCAATATTATACTTTACAATAAAATCAATGGTGACAATACATTCTATTCTATAATTCACATTTACTTGGAGAATGTTATTGTTCAGTTATAATAACAACTAAAAGTTTTATAAAAGACTAGAAGACCTGGCGAACTTCGTATCGCCCTATAATCAAGAAATATTTATTACTTTTTTTTATTTATATTTTTGTAGTTTACCTGTGAGCCATAAATCTCCGTGTTTTGAAGTGCGACAGAATGATTGACATATTAGTTAGTTGTCAAATCTAATGTCAAAAAAAACGTTTGTATGGGAAATAGAAAAGGGCTGTTTTTATGGTTTTCCCAGTAATGAATCAATTTTTTTCAGCTTTTATACCTTCCCTGAACCTCCACGAACATTTCAAGACTAAGATAATATAAATCCGTTCAGCTGTTCTCGAGTTTTTGCGAGACTAAGGAACAGCAATCCATTTTTATATATATAGAAGATTATTTAAATTACAAATTGGTTTTACTATTTACTTATTACTATTACTTTATATATAAATAAATAAGGCCTTTTTGATCCATAAGAGAAGATATCTCTTCAAAAATATAAAACATCTCCAACAAAACGATACCTCCCACGTAATTTACAGTAGAGCGATTCAAAGATTCAAATTAAACCAAAATCTGCATTTATTGATGCATCTTTTTAAAATTTCGTATTAAAATTTAATATACTAGTCTTCTTAACTACGTTAAAATATATTTTAATTAATATGCCTATTTGCGGAGATATTGTTGTTATATTGTTCATACGACATTTTACTCCGCAGTAGAAGCTAAAAAAGGTGTTTTATCTGATACTTACAACATTATTCCGCGGCGCCCAGGTAGCATCACTTGTGGTATATGATAGTTACAACTGTATACGTTGAAAAAAATACGTCTTATTTTGTTGTGTATAACCAATACGCGGCGTGAGCGCGTGATATTACCCACCTAGCGATCCGCGTATACAGTTGCATAGACATATACATACATCAGTTTAATCCGTTCGCGTTTGAAAATTACAACATTATGCGTCTGACAAGTCCTTTGAAAATAGTGTTTTTGTTGTTTTTTTTTAATTTGAATGGATGTAATGATCCATAATAGGATATTTTTTAGAAAAAAACAAAATAGCATATTTGTGGCATACAACAACTTACGTGGGAGGTATCGAAAAAGAGCTTAAAATCTTGTCGTAGTATAATATATAGGTGATGTATGTTATATTTTAATATGAACATTTGATAAATTCTTAAAGATGACTTTGATTATTGTAAATAATTTTTTATTTAAACGCGTTCTGAAAGTACATATCGTTCTGTTTTCGTCCTAGATCAGTGAGGTACCTCCTGTACAAACATATGCATGTTATATTATTGTATAAAAACAAAGTTAATCACATACCTCTGCGGGATCCCGGTGATCGCAGGCTCGGCTGGCTGTGTTATATAAATCCCCTCACTAAAGAGCGGCGCACGGTCGCGGGTAACTTTACAAACAATTCAATAAATTCTAACAGATTTTTAAATCCCCGTATGATTGAGGTGGATAAGGTTCCATCACGGGAGCTTTACGTCGTTGTTTACACACGACCCGCGACTGTGAACAATATAAACATCGCTTATAATAAAATATAATTAATATTGTTTCTGTATTTTTCTCATATATATACTCTAATCATTCATCAACTTCATAGGAATTCCAATATAGCGAAATAAAACATTACAGTGGTTTAATTTGTAAGTGAAGTTTGGAAAAGTTTATTATCTTAAATAAAACTATGTTTGATAATTTTTTATCCCTCTGGACTGCGAATCAGGCAGAACAGCCAAGGTAGAAATAGTTTCATCTATGGTTTGCATCGGCTGAGAATATAATTAATTTCCAGTAAAACATAGGGAAGCGACTTCTCCTTATATAATATAATATAAATATAATCAGAGTTGTATGTCGGAGCTGGTCGTTCCGAAGTCTGTCTGAATCAGTAACGCGATATTCGCGTGTGGCACCTGCGGCCTCTCACCATCGATCGTGTCTGAGAAGTTTGTAAGATAAATCAACTTTGTGTTTTTACTTATTGTACATAAAACAGATTCCATTACTAGATGAGCATTTTGAAAATATACACTGAAACTGTTCTAAAATGTTACTTTTTTGTCCTCAAAGGGCAAACGAGCAGACGGCCTACCAGATGGTAAGTAGTTACCGTCGTCCATGGACGTAAGGGGTGTTGTAGATGCGTTGCCGGCCTTGTTTTTGTTATTTAAAATTACAAACATTCGTCATATCAATCTGTTAAACATGGTGTTCATGTTTTCAGTAATATATTTTCATTTCTTAATGTTATTTATAATGATCAATATAATCATATTATCCATAGTATACGCCGTACGTCATTAGTCAAATGGGTTGAGTTATATTTGAAGCCCATATAATAATCAGCGTGTGGTATTTCGTCCTCATCGCAAACAGAATACGTGATCACCTAAAATCAAACGGTCGCTCGGTCGGTCGGTCGGTCGGGGCTCGCGGTGCGGGTGACGTCACTAACCACAGAATACTAAACAACCGTCACACACACACACACACACACACACACACACACACACACACACACACACACACACACACACACACACACAGAACATTACATTACATTTATATATACTGATGAAACATTAATGAAAATATTAATAAATAGTTTGTACTCCTTGTTATAAATATCCTCATGGTCAAGTAAAATAAAAAATACATCCAACCAGACTCACGCAGTGTTATAACATTAGAAATTAATCAATGTTTACTTTCTTCATTTTAAGAACTTACCTCAAAACTATATTTGGTTATTTCCAAGTGTGTGTGTGTGTGCGTGTTATTGATTTTCATATAAAAATTGTCTAAATCTATTTTGGAAAATAAAAAGCTCTGAACGGAAAGAAATTGTCAAATGATTCAATAGTTCATTATATAGAAAGAAAACTTAGTCAGTATTAATAAAACTTTTCTTTAAATATAGAAGTGGAACAAGAATCTAAAATATTACAAACTCTTATTCAAAAATGTTACAACGCTCAGCATGTCGTAACTGTGATTATGGAAAACATATATTCAAAAATAAATAGTCAGATACCTCAATGATTTTATTTAATAAAATAACTTTCATAATATTGCTGTGAATATAATTTAATATTTAATATGAACAGCATTGATTTACTGAATGTATTACAATGACGTTCATAAAGTTGAACCAAAAAAATACATAAATCTTTGAATAAAATACGAAGCATATTAAGAGATGACATTGAACGTGCCGGTGTAGGAGTCGCCTCAGGCAGGCGAGTGTTCGTTCAAATATTATTTATTACAGAACACATTATTCACTTGAGGAGCTCAAACATTCCTGTCGTAATGTGTTGTTCAGTTTACATGAATGTTGAATTATATTTAGATGTTCATCAAAAACATCGTCGTGCGTGGGATCGTTCACAGAAAATACTTTGTTGAGTTCAGACTACAGGTGTTGGTGTTGTAACACGTTCATGTGTTGTTTAAATGAATCGTGATGTGATGTGACAAGTCATTATATATTATACAAGAAATAAATAATAGAAATGTAACGGATCGTTGTCTGTACGTGGGAAGATATGTAAGAAAAATAAGTGGCACTACGTAGGTCCTGTGCCAGCAATCCTAGCAGCCTGTATGCTTTGATGACCAAATAACATATCAATATCTTGTAAAGAGCAGCATTGTTGAATAGTATTTATAACCAACACAACGGTGCTTTCCATCCTTATAATACCAAGAGATATATTTTAAAAATCTGCCCTATAACACTGTAACATGCGGACAAAGTCCATAAAAAACAGCTAGTTATAAATAACAAAAGAAAATCTGTTTCTATTTTCGTTATGAGAAGGTCAAGTAATTGAAGTCATTTTAATATAGAGTAATTTAATATAAGTATATTTTTTTATAACGAGCAAGGTAACCTGTATTTATACATGTAAGTAAAATGCTTGATCGCAATTAGTTTAAAGAATGATCATTTCATTACAACTAAGAATTCTGATAACATAAATTATTAATTAATTATTACAGCCTTTACTTTCCTATGTTCAGTCTTATTGATTTTTTTAAATAATTAATATATTTATTAGTCATCTAGTATTTTAATGATATTTTGATATTCAACAAATGTTTTATAAATAAGTTATCATCATCATCATCATCAGCCTATCAGAACCCACTGATGAGTAAAGGCCTCTTTTCACATGAAGAAGGTTTGAGTATTAATCACCATGCTTGCTCAAGACGGGTTGGTGATTTCAAACTTATAATTTGATATTAATAGCACATTTGCAGGTCCTCACGATGTTTTCCTTCACCGTCTTTCAATGGTATCTAAGTACTCTGAGAAAGCACATATGACTCGTAAAAATCACATTGGTACTTGTCAGATTTCGAACTCGCAACCTCATATACGAGTAGCAGGCCTTTAACCTCTAGTCCACCATGACCTTTTATAAATAAATATAACAATAAATTTATTATTATTGTGATTATCAGATCATTTCTAAAATGACTCAGATGTATTAATAAGTCCCACTGATCCGATCTATTCTATATTTGATGTAATCTCTTCAAGAGAACTTACAAATAAATATAATATAAGGCATATATCGTGTTAACAAAAGGTCTCGTTGTGTTGAACCAAACAGTATGAATGATAGTTCATACATTCTACATTATTTTCTTTCTCATAGGATTAATTGTTTATGAGATCTAAGACTTTTGTTAGTTTTATTCATCTAAATGAAACTAATATTATTCGGATATACGACGAAACGTCGGGAGTATGTAGTTTTTTAGAAAAATAAAGCACGCGTAGTATATCCGTAAAATATTAGTTTCATTTAAAATAATTAATTGTTATATATTTCATTCAAGCACATCCTACTACTCGCTAACTTTATTAATATATATGTTAATACTCATATGCTTGGTTTCCTCACTTATCTTAATGATGTGTCAATAAATCAGAACAAACATTTAATGATGAACGTCAGTAAGGTAAATAACATTTTATTTGTCTGTTTGTTAAACTCGGAACTGTATTTCAGGCGATCACATCACAAATACGATGCTGTTAGGACCAAATGGAAATGTGGTTACCGAACGTCGGCTAATTAGGAGTTAATCTGTGCGGCGGAAGCTGGGAATGTTGAGACAATTATATGTATTGAGAGTGAGGGGAACGATTTCTGATTACTGAATATAATATGTACTACAATAATATATTATGTTGTTGCTATAGTTTTTGTTTCATCTTTATCTTGACTATTTTCTTCAATATAAATATTACAAGTCACATATGTATCGTGTGAGTATACAACATGTACTATTTTTATTCCACTTATAGTTATTTCCATTCATATTTCATATTTTATATTTTTTGTTCCTCGCTCGTGTTTAATCGTCTAAGTGATTGCATTGTGAGCTCTCAGACAGCTAACAGTAGAGCTGCCTCCACTACGAACACATATCTACACCTACATGTGAGCGTGGCTTAATATTATTAACGATAACACTTTTAATTTGTTAAAATATAATTCGATTGTGATCGACAAATTACATTAACGTATTATAAAAAAATATTTCATTCGGGTATTCGGTATTTTCGATAAAAATTATATTAATAAATAAATGTTATTCTGATAACGATGACTGACATCGTTTGTTTAATACATTTATGACATTAAATTATTTTTCAACAAACATTTAGTATTAAATGATCACCATACTAAAAAGTTTTAAATTATTGAGAATAATCTTTATTTTTAAATTATATTATTTGGTTCCTGTTACAATATAATCAGATCGCTCACACTAGTTAACCTCGTTAGTTTCTTAAACAAGTTGTTTAGTAATTAAACTACTAACGAGTAATCGCTTGTCTCCTGGGAACTATACATTCTACACAAACTAATTAATACTTGTATATTTTTCTTTATCTCCGATAAAATGCCTCTGACCTAAGAAGGGATGTATTTTATGATTTAAAGATACTTTCAATGTCATATTTCTTGTTGTAAACACTGTTGTTCGAGAATATTTAAATGATAAAATAATAATTGTTTGCGTGAAAACTTACATTAAAGAGCAACAATTTTCAAAGATTATAGTTAAAAAATATACTATTCAAAGTAAAATAAAAGTGTGGTAAAATTATCAAATAATAAAATGAACTGAGTCTCCTACAGTTTATGAATGTAAATCATGGACACAACAGTATGAATCTTTTCAGTTTATCAGCAATACTTCGCTAAAGTGACCCATAAATCTGTCAGACACATCGATTTACTTTTGCTAGTTAAGATAAAACTTTGGAAGAAGTTTGAAACTCGCCGAGGACCGGCTCCAGCCTCCGAGCTCTCACACTAAATAATATAATAATTCCCACAAATAATTGATGTCTTAAGGCTATTGTTTGCGTTTTCACGGTAGACGAGGCATAGTTCATAAAAACTATACAACAAATATTTTGGACTGTATTTCTATGTACAAATTGTTGTGAAAGAAAATTATGATGATTATATTAAGTGGTCAAATGTTATTGTCTTCTTATATAGGGTATTTTATAGATGTTTATTAAAATAACATAAATAGCAACAGAACGTTTAAAACTTGAGTTAACTGTAAACGGTTAGCTTCAATATATTCCACGAGAACCATTCTTTACATTAACCGCTCCATAGCCCCGACATGTCTCCGACGCGCGGTTCAAATCCCTCCTCCATTTACTAAAGCCATTTATTGGGCTTGCAGCTCACGTGTGAAAAGTAATCGCTGACTTCAAGAAACCTTCCGATTGAAAACACGAAAGACAAGTCGACTTGATGATGCTGAAACTATAAGAAAATACTTCCCTGAATCTACACGAATGTTCTGATGAAATTAAGGACTAGTTTCTATATAATTCAATGTGCAGTGAATTGAATGTTTGTAATCAGTAAAGTAAACATCTCGGCGACCGTCGCCAGAGGATATCTGGTTAAGACTTCTCGTACGAAAGGTTAATTTTAATTAATGGAAACTCGTTTCAGTTCTAATTTATAATGTGTCCGTATTGAAACTCAAACACACTACAACCTCGCCGTAATGGAACTCAAGAGAATTATATATATGAGGTACATCACGTGATCCGGTCAAAGAAGTTTGATACAAAATGTATGAAGAAAGATAATACGAGATGACTGAGTCAAAGAGCCGTTAAACTGAGCTTAATAAAACTATGTAATTAGTTTCGGCATCAATACAAACTACATTATTAAGAAGATTTAAATAAATGCTTTAATATAAATTAAAGGGAATTGTGCAAATTACATTGAATCGAGTATTTTGTTTTGTTAAAGTTTCATATATGTTATTTCATATTATTATCATTGTAACAATCGAAATTGTATATAGTGTGTATATATGAAAAAAAAATAATGTTTTTGACAGAAACCTAAAAAGAAAATTAAACATACGTACAAAGTTAATGTATAATTGTGACTGTGTAAAAGATGTTTACAAATATGTAGAATTGTCACTTCCCAATACATACTATACATGGAGCATATCTTCAACATTTTATTTGTCCGACCGTGATTCAATATTTCCCATTCTCTCAATACTAACTCTCGAGATAACAATTTGTTCGCTTCCCACCAGCTGACTAATATACAACAGTCTGTTATATTATATGAGCTATGTTTACTAACATGTTATACAATTATATAAAATAGACAGAAGAATAACATACAGGTTTTAAGTATAGAGTGCATTGAAGAAAAACTAAATTAATCTCTGGAATCATATTATTTGAGGAATAAATGTCGTAACTCCGCTATTAATTTTTATGAATTTTTTTGAGTGGATTATTATCTTTCACCATATTAAAGTTCTTAGTTTTTTAAAGAAGTATACCCCTGAGAGAATTGTTTAATGTTATTAATACTCTAAGTTAATAATAACGTTAACAAACTTAATTAGTTAATAATAACGTTAAGAAACCTCAATGTTAAATACTACAAGTACTCCAAATATCATTTCATATCTTTTACTATACAAGAGATGATGTGCAAACCATATATGTAGCTATTCTTATATAGTAACCGGTGTATGAGGTGGCAGATCGAACTAATGTAATGCATGAGAACACACTATAGTTAAGTATTTAGTTATTAACTTATAAAATATGTCAATTGAATTACTAGAACAAGTTAAAATCATTTATCAGATTAACCATAAATAATGAAAGTGAATGATCAATCACAAACTGAATCCCTCTCAAAGCGGACTCATAACTTTTTACGACTTTGAATATTTTATATTTATAGTTAAATATGACAATCACACTCCACGACAGATTCGGATAAATTTGATTTTGAAGAATTTGAAGTTCGTACAATTATATCAGTCTCTTATTGAAAATGTTTGAAAAGTTAATGGCTCCTTATGTATAAGAAATTAAATTGAAGTAATTATGTCTATAGTAAAGACGATGTGTTTTGTTAATGCCTCACATGTTAATGTGACTTAATATTCCTTTTCCATCTAATAACATATGACGTACATTCTCCGTTTCCACAGAGTGTTATTATCGAACGTTTAAAGTATTACATTGTTGTTGTAACTGTACAATCAACTGAACGCCACGCGTTAGTTTGAAATCAAATTACTCAGCATTTGCATGGCGCTACAGTTCCGAACTGTCTCTATGTAAAACTGTGATGGCGCCGAGCCAGGAGTGAAATGAACTGCAGACAGGGTGTAGCCATCGAGAGATATATATGATGTTACATATTAATACGATTAAAACGGAACTAATGTTTGCGGATTACTACGCTTATTTTTATACTACGCTTATAAATACGCATGTAATCCGAAAATATTAGTTTCATTAATACAAATATTTTAAGTGTTAGATCTCATTGGAATTAAAACTTATTGATAGTTGTTTGTTAATAAAGTGACCTGGTCAATTGAGATATATTAATATTACCAATTAATGTGAAGATAGATTAAGCCTCATGACGCGTATGATTACTTTGTAACTCCGATATTGATATTTGTAGAATTTTATAATTTATTTTATTTATTTATAAAAACTTTTGAAGTGATAAATTCTACATAGCGAAGAATTATCAACATGACCAGAATTCAAACCTGAGATTCTCAGATTATCGAAAGCAATTTAAGTAAAAATAACTTGTATAACTATAATATGAATTTAAAATAATGAAAATATACATTAGTAACTAAAAACATAGCAACTGGTCCATCTAGAGTTGATAAATTGACAGCTTGGAAAAAATATGTTCGTAGAATTTTTAGGAACTAAAAGCTTTTTACGAAAGGCTGGTCAAATCTTGTTACACGGGAAAACAACTCGGAATACTGTCAATAGTCCATTTTAAAATAAAGATTTTTTATTGTGCTCACCCTCCCTTCACCTCCTGCAACAGACAGTCATCTCATACTTTAGCCAACATAGGATCGGGTCATATAAATGTTATATGTAGTTATAAACAAAATATATAGGGTGGCAACCGGAGTTTCTAGGAAAACTATGAAACTTACTTATATGCATAATATAATAAGAATTACGTATTAAAACTTATAACCTATATCTAAGACTACATGATTGACCCGATGTTAGGATAGTAATGACATTCCATAGCTTGTGTGGTATCAGGAATCTTCTGGTTCACACGGCATGGTGTTCGTTCAGGGGAGTCAGCAGAGTCACTCGTTATATAATATTTTATCCATACAACGACGTTGCCCCGACGATGTTCATTATTTTTTTAATATGTAGCGCGTACGTAACAACATAGTAGTTATTCGCTTATAATTTTTCTATTTACTCGGTCACATGTTCAATACCCACAAAGCTTTAATATCAAAAGAACACTGTAAGTAACTTGTTTACCTCACTGTCTTCAACAAACAGACCCCGCATACACACGGACGTCTTGTTTGAGAGTTTGTGTGTTTAATCATGTTGGGGACTTCACTCCTTTTTAACTTTACGGATTCTTTACCTTAACATATTGTGATATTGTTGATTGCTGTATTAAAAGAAAAACTGGGAAAGTAACTTTTACCAAAAGTCTCCTAACGTTTTATTTGATAACTTTTTATTTGATAATGGTTTTAATAAAATCTTTTAATTTTGATTCACTATCCGGATTGAGGAATATTGTGCATTCATATGCTAAACTCTTAAAGATGAATAAGGAGTATTACACTCACACAGAGCTCATGTACGTTTAGAGCTGAAGGTTGGTCATAGGAACCGAAGAAGAAAACTACTTCCACAACGTATGTGGACGGGTTGATTAGTATTCACGAAGACTTTAATCAAATAAAGACACGACGGCTGATGTTTGAAGTTAGGAGTAGTAACAGAAACTCCTCAATAAAACGACCAAATAATCGAGTTTGGAATTAATTTGTCGTAATAAGTTATTTGTACACTGAAATGAATTTCAATCTCATCAAATTAAGTAATACTGACATGAAAAAATGACCGGCACTCCAGTAAATCACTATATTTAAACTAAAAAAAATATTTTAAAAGAGATTTCAGATACAACATTTATTTTATGTAAGCTATATTTTAAAATGAAATTAAATTATATAAGAAACCTTTTTATATAAAATATTTTGAACGGGAAAATGTTATCTTCAAACAAGAAACATAAAAGTAAATTATAATTAATTAATAAGTATACCTACTTATTATAAAGTAATAGGTATTTCGATTTAGTTAATTTTATAATGTCACAGTCGATTCCGAGTACGTCCATTACTAGATATGGGTATAAGTAATCTTTTTAACTATAATAACTAATAGTCAATTATTGTCACTGAAAATATCTCTTGTGTTCAAATCTTGTTTTATTTATTCATTATTGTTTTTACTTTACTATCAAATTCTTTGTTTTCTTAAAATACTACATATTTTAGACTAACGTAGTTAATGGAGATTGCGTTAAAAATAAAAGCATAGGTTACGTTTATACATTTCATTAGTGCGGACCTGTGATGCGACTGACCAACAGTCAACATCTGTGGCGTTACGAAGGCTCGATGCTCGTCTTCTGCTTGTGGAACATCGAGTATGACTGGCTCCTTCACTGTCCTCTCCTATCCCGCACATGGTTACACAGAGCTTACCGTCGTCATTGCACGGAGTGAAAACTTGTGGAGGACGGTTCATTACGCCACGATAACATCTATCTTCAAGGAGAATAGCATAGGTTTATTGTTTGGTCCCTCATAACAAAGATTAATTACATTAATAACATTAACCTCATTCATTTTGGTGGTATCTGAGAATAACATCAATAATATTTTTTACAAGAAAACTAAATCATTCCCTCTCAAGATTTGCTAAAGATAAGTAATGTTATTATTTAAAGAAAACTTGCAAAAATTACTTGTGTCTCGAAGTGGATAAAGAGCTCGCTTCGACGAATTAGTCGACGTATTCCGTACCTACTTTAACCGCACCTACTTTACATAATATATGACTATGGGAAAATGCTGCTAAAATGAATATAACTGTAGGAAGGTGCTGTAAAATTGAATCTTGAAATACTTCATAAGAAAATCTATCTTATATTATTCAATTATAATTGCTTCAGTCCAATTTCGGGTTTACATATATGTACATATAAAAAACTAAATCATAAGATAGCAATACATGCACTCTCAGTACAAACCAACCTATCTGTTATAATGTTGAAATGTTCGTTTTATCTAAAATTAAAACTAAAATTAAAACTTAGTAAAAAGTTACCTATTCTCCCTATGTAGGTGCATACTTTATAATAAATAGATTTGTGCTTTATAATATGTGAACACATTAATATATTTAAAACGAAATTATCAGTGCGTATTAATAAGAACCAGCCACCATAAAATAATACACTAAATGAGTAATCAATTATATTGTAATGACTACTCACTCAGTAATGTCTTAATCCAACGTCTCTTAGAACATATTGGCTTCATTTAATATTAAAGAATTACAAACAAACATTACTATAGTATTATTTCCCAAACTGTTTCAAAACTAATTTTAATGTTGAATTAGGAAATAAATTACTAGGATATTTAATACCGGCTGGTAGGTTATGAATAACATTTAAAACATCATTTGGACTTTACAAATAAATGGAATTGTTCTTCCTAATGCTGTTTTTTAAACGTTGAATATTCGTGATCCTTTGAACGGAATATAAGATTAAAGTCGACCGAGTGGGCGTGACGCGAGCGAGACGAGTCATTTGTGGTAAAGCTCGCGCGAGGAAGACGCATGACTCGGAGGAAGCCGATGATAAACGACACCAGTGACGTGTGTTCTATGTACGGAATATAATGTAGACCACATACATAGATCAGTAGGGAATTATAATTAGTGGGGCGAGGTACGGTTACGAATGGAAGGTTAACAAAACGATAGGAAATAACATAAAAATTGAGAGCCGCATAAGTTAGATGAATCTTTAAAAAATATGGTAACACTGGCATGCTAGCAGCACTAACTTTAAGATTTATTTTACATAATGTTAGTACCAAACAATTATATTGAAATCAACTATAATTTTTATTTTTGTGGCAATACAAATTTAGAACAAAGAGAAAACCAAACATGTATGTACGATATACACACATCATTGATTACAAGTGAATTTGTAAAGGTCAGATTCAATTAATTGATTTCAACATTTCCATACATGCATTATGCATGTTTAATTTACCAAACGACTGATAGTTAGTTCCCTCTGTGACGTCACTCTAAATATAGCAAACCAGTTATTTAGACAGTCACAAAAATTTAATGTGTGCTCTGTAACTGTAACATATGAAGGTACGTATGTTAGGAGTCTCAATATAAAAATAATAATTGTAAGTTTGATTTCTTTATAATAAATTACGTAATGATTGAAATAAAATTAGACTTCTACCAAATTACCAACTTTTGTTATTTTTTGTGTATATTTTTTGAATTTAATATTGAGTTTGATGTTTTTTAGCAATATTACTGAAACAGCGTATTGTTTCATATTGGAAGTAGCAACTGTGAACACGAGATATTTATTCCTGTATTTTAATTATATTCGGCAATATCTTTTTGTTATACTTGTTAAGACTGTGATTTATTAATTAAAGTTTTTGAATATCTTTTTATAACAAATAAACATCAAAAACTTTTTGAGTATTATTTTATTCATCTCTTTCAACACATAGACTTTTTTATGCCTATTAAACGTTATAACATGAAAATTAATTAATACATCTTCATTTTAAATAAACTCGACTCTCTGCTATGTAAAGGAGATCACAATATACATATAATAGTTCTTGTACCTGGAGGTAGGTGATACAACTTTGTTGTTATTAAATGTTCCTTCAATATTTTCTTAGAATAACGAAGTTGTATAACTCTCAACAAGTTATTAAACGATAAATAAACACTTCAATAATTACTTTACAATACAACAAAGATTCTTATAAAGAAGAAAATTCCTAAGAGAGAGATTCACTCCTTTTCTAATTTAATTTCTGTCTAGATAATTTAGAATAATGTTCATTTTCATCAAACACACACTATTATTATTTAATATGTGTGTCCGCTTTGTGTTTGGAAATCAATATGTATTAATATTTGTGGTATTGTCGAAAGGAAGAGAAAATATTTTTTACTCTCAAAATTCTTTAACAATCTCTCATTCCTTAGTTTTTTTGTAAGGGGAAAATAATGTTTGTGGTAAATTTTTTGTATCTCTGTAAACACATGATCCGAGAACCAAGAAGTGTTCCGTAAAACTACAAAATAATAGGCACTACAAGTATATACAGTACGATGTATTAGTATGTGAAGTGAACGAAAAATATTATATTATAACTCACACACACAAATAAATGTAAATTATAATACACAAAAGGATTTCAGAGCTTCAAATATAATCTATATATGAATGTAAGTCGTAAGTAAAGTGAGCCACATTGTTTTGTCTTAGGAAACAACCTCACAGAAAGCGTTCCAGTGTCGATTCAGGAAGCCGCGCGCTGCTTTGTGGACGAAGACGGCGCCCTCGTAATACTTACATTAATTTATGACACACATACATACCTCGTATAGTTAGGAATGCCATGTTACGTATATTTATAATTCCATGATAATGTTACAAACACTGTTCTGTATCAGCTAATGTTAATGTAAATCGAAATTTCTTAATGTTCATGCATGTGTATTATATCTACTGAGTCCGGCCATTTATACGGTTACAACTAAACGTGACCAAAATAGCACTATTGAATTTGGGTCTGTTATTTATAATATATGATTTTTGATTGTGTTTTCTTGTTTTCACTTTATGACGTAGAATATTTTCTAACATAAACTGGAGTGGGATGATAAAGAAAAAGTATAAAGACGCATCTTCTATTTGTGACAGAAAAAGCGATCAAAGCAGTAAAGCAGCAGGAACGACTTGTAACCCATAAGAGATATTTAAATAAAAATAGTACAGAGTTAAAGCCTTCTCTAAGTCCCATAATAAATTGAAGTTCCTGAAACAATCCATATTGTGTTTGGTGAAGAATTTGTCCATAAAAAGCTGGCGTGCTGTTAATGATATCTAACCTCAACGTTTAAATGATTGTATTGTAGTCAACGGAGGCCGCTCCGAGTAAGCTCTATATATTTGAACAGTTCTATGTCAATCTATAAAACTACTTCACTGATTAAATGAATCTACACAATCCCGTAGTTTCAGGAATAATATTTGTAGTACGACATAAATATGCAATAATCCTTTTAGAAATACAAAACCTGTAATGAATAAAGATAAGACTCATAAAAATTAAAACCACATTCGCCACGAGACTTAAACTGTCTTCAAAACAGAACTCAAAGAAATCCCTCTGTCATAAAAATAATAAAACATCAATCAGCAGCGAGGAAATTGTAAAATGTTATTCGTACAAAGTGCTCAATTCATCAGAAGCCGTCGTTTGTCGTTCGTGTATCGAGGACTGCTAATGATAGACTTTCATTATTGAATCTTCAATCAAGCACCGGATCATCGACACGTCGTATATCAAGTGAACAAACAGACGGAAATAAACTGTTTATAATACAGAAGTGTCATTTATAAATAAATTTATGAATTGTAGGCTTTTGTTTGGCATTTAAATGCAAAAATATAAATGTAAATGTGAGTGTGAGTGTGTGAAAAATATTTGTGTGAAAAATACATTATGATTACTGCATATCTCCTGTTTCAATGACTACACTGTGAGATTTCTTATTAACTTGTATAATTGAAGATAACAAGTCACTTGTGTTAACATCATCACGACCAAAGGAACAGCTCCGACAATTTCTGATTGAATACAACTTCGCTACAAGCAACAAGTTTCCTCTCAACAATTATTAAAGTTTGTTTTATGTAAATAGCTATGAATTAATTTATAAATAAAATAATATTTGTATATACTTCCTACAACAACCAGTTAGAGTTAGTTTAGGTTAGAGGTAATGTTAGCCTTCCATAACGAGTTTAATATTCATTTTCTTAAATAGAACCTAAGACAAGATGACCAGCTGGTCTAAATATAACAGAGATATATATAGTTGGTCAAGGGAATTTTCTCTCGTATATTTATTTATGTATATCTGGTTATTTATTGAGACTAAGAAATGTATAAAAAATAATAGGAATAGTAAATATGTACATATATATTATGTACAGTGTGTGAAAAATTCTCATGGTAATAAGAAATCAGTTTCGTTTCGTTTCGTGTAAATTCTGTAAACAGATGTTTAAAATGTTTTCCTTTTGTAAGTTGTATTTATTGTTGCTTTACACGAAAAACAAAAAGTATTTTATTATGAAGTTGCAAAATATTCAGAAACTTTTATGAGTTCGGAACGATTTCAATGCACGTTTTGAATAAGAGCGGCCGTCTTAATAACAAAGATGTTTTAAAAAGAAAGTTGAGATTATTAAAACAAAAAAAAAACTTGTTTGTCCTTGCTGAATACTTTATATGCTTTCAGTTTTGGAAAGTTACAATGAACATGAGAATACTTTTATCACTCGTTGTAAGAGACGCGCCGACTCCCTCGCTCACCTCCTGTTATGTATAAAGTGGTATTCTATGTTTATTATAAGTTAAAAGTTGACTGTTTGTTCTACATATAAG